TTCTATATTAGATATAAAATTTTTTTGTAAAAGAGTATGAGAGTTTGAAAGATGATATATATATATATATATATATGTCTGTAATCAGAACTGTGACTATAATAATAATAATAATAATAATAATAATAATAATAATAATAATAATAATAATAATAATGGAGGAAGTTGGGTTGCGGTCTGAGAGAGGAATTCAAATGGAATCAAATGGAATCAAGGAATCATTTGATTTAGTGAAATATTCTAGTGCAACACTGCAGAGACTAGATTTAGTCCACAAAGCATTCCAAAAAAACAAAAAATGTCATTCTTGCTGCAAAAATCAAAGTTCAGTCTGTCCAGCTTGATGCTGCAGTCTGAATTAGGTCACATATTGGTGATCACTGAGTGATCAAAGCATGATTTAGACACAAAGTCCCTGCAGTCTTTAGTGGGAAAAGATAATCTTATCAAAAACTTCATAACTTCATACCTCTGATCTGAAGAATAACTATTACTCTGGATTTATTTTTTTAATTATGTTACATTCAGTTGGTCATTTAATGTTCTTTTTTTTTGTTATTGATCTACCTAATCAGTGTTGCTGTTAGTATATTAAACATTAACATTTTTTTTTTGTAATTTATTTATTTCGAACATGATACAAATGTAAAAAGTAATATAGTACACTATATTTTAAATGACCCATTTAACATAAATTTTTTAAAAGGATATTTGAGAACTAATCATACATGGACTTTCAAATGTAATTATTGCTTATCAAGACAAAAAAGAAGTTATTTCAGATGTTGTACTTACTGCGTTTGTCTCTGGTACAAGAGTCAGCTGCTTGTTGTTCCTTTTCCACTGCCAACAGTGAAGACAGAGAAAACATTTACCAAACTTTTTTGGGGGTAAAAAGCTGAACTTTGAGACTTTGATCAACAAATACCCAGAAGTCCGTGCATGCATCGATTTGCTGTTAGAATTTGGGACGACAGTTTTATCTGTGTCAGCTTTTTTTTTTTTTTTTTCCAAAACCGTTAAGTTTTTCCTTTCATTGTGTCTTATGATACACATTTCAAATGGCCATGCAATGTCTTAGCGATCACAGAGTTCTTTACTTCTTTTAGTTCTTTTGAGAACTTTTTTTCTGTTTCTAAATCTGAATGTTATGCAATGATGAGTTGCGTTTTGATCTTTAAATGTCTGTACAAAAGAGTGATGCAGTGACTGCGGTCACAATCTTCATTAAATACTAAATTTTTAGTCTTTAGCAGCCACGGACAAAAGTTCAGTATTTGTAAAGAAAGATGATTTTTTTTCCAATAATAAAATTAGTTCTTAGTAGCAAACTGACAAACTGTCAGAGGAGAAAAATAAGGACAAAGACTTTTAAATCTGGGATTTTACTCTATCAGGACACACAATAAGGTAGAAATAGTGTGTAATAGAGAAAGAACCTCATGACTCAATGACTTATTAAATCCCATTTCAGCAGCAATAACCAAAAAATGTGATTTATTTATTTTTTTTTGTCTGACTAACTCTGACATTGTTGTGGAGAAACTTCTATTTTATAACTTTCCATCTGCTCTTTGAATTTCCAAATTGTAGTCGAGCTTTAGCAGACAGACGTGCTCACATTTGCTATTCCACCAGCATTCAGATGCGGCTTTGTCAATCCAAGCAATTTTGTATTTGTCTCTGCAGTGAGAGGTAGCTCTTTCTTTTGCTATCCTTGTACAGGTTGATATTGGACTGAATTTGCCTGGGGAAATTAGCAACTGTGCTTAAAAGTTTCTACATCAGGTGAATCATCTTTATCACTGCAGGACGATCGACCTCAGTGTGTTTGGAAATGATCTTATGTTGCTTCTCCGTTAGAATGCCAGCAACAGTTGCTTCACTGATGTCTTTTTACATCGCCTTGGTGTTAACACAGCCTTGTACGCTATAGATAGATAAACTGCAAAGGCTGATAAATAGCAGCAATGTGGTGAGGAAAGGTGTTGTGTAAGGTATTGCACACTTAACACTAACAGGTTTATCATGTCCTGACACATGAGCCCTATATTAGAAAGAGGATATACTTTTCTCTTTAGCTATGACTGTGCCTAAGACTAATGCTGCTTACTGGATAAATTATTCCTCTGCTGGGAATTCACAATGTGCATGATATTCTAATGTTGTGCAGGCCTGTTTACTACTCCTATTGATTGTTCTCTGCTAATTATATAGCCAGAACTTGCTCAAAGCATTTACATTATAACTAACAGATATATTTTTGTATTTTTTATTTTTTTATCAAGGGCTGCATATTTTTTGTAAGCAAGCATGTTTATGAGACATGAGTATGGATTGGCAATCAATCTTTTTTTCTCTGCTGACCCGAATGGAGTTCAGTTAAACTGACTGAGGTTTGGATTTGCCCTGGTAAATGAAGAACAGTTTAGGACTGAGGAAAAAGCTCTAGAAAAAAAAGAAACAGGACTGGGTTCGCCTCTGCAGTATTGCAAAAATATGCAAGTGCCTTCTCTGAAATACCTTCGTAGTGGAATTTGTGCCCGTACAAGTAAAGGGGCAAAAATGACTGCTGACGAAAAAGAACACAAAGTCTTTATGAAATTTGCATTAAAAAAAAAAAAAACTTTATGATCTCCAAAACTTTGGAAAATATTTTGTGGACTGATGAGACAAAGAGCACATTTTTGTTGTTTGTCTGTCTCAGTTCATCTGGCATAAAACATGACATCATTTCATAAGCGGAGAACATCAGACTTCTAGCCAAACATGACGGACGTCCATGTCTGGAGCTGCTTTGATGAAATTGATCAGATAATGGATTTTACAAATTCCCTTAAAAAAAAAAAAAAAAAAAAAAAAAAAAAAAAAACTTTGGGAAATAAATTTTGTTTAAAAAAAA